TTGCGTGCTATTGTGTTGATATATTCGTCGCATGTGTTTTCATATGGAAATGTCGACTGTACCGTTCTCGTTGAGAACGGGATTTCCGGGTTCAACCCGGGCTACTCACTAAGCAGTTGTGCTTAGCCCTCGTGGTTTATATTTTTCAGATCACGAGGATTACGCCTAGCGCATCCGGCAGAGGACGACCTGAGAGAGGCAGCATCATGTACGGGATTTACATTTTGGGTTACGAGACTTGTATTTCCCGCATTTTGTACGGTTAAATTATACTATTCGGACATGTGTTATTTTGCGATACTAATCGCCTGTTGTATTTTTCCGCTGCTTACTCTGGTTTATTAAAAATGTTTTTTTTGATTTCGTATTTTCGCTTCTGCAAATTATTATTTTATTTTATATCGTCCATGTGGCACAGCCCGTATACTGTACACGGGTTACGGGTGTCACACTTTCTTCTTGCAATGGTCACAGGTAGGGCGTCGATCTCCTGTTGGTTTCGCAACCTTTTGAGCTATCTCTCCATGAACCATGGGCACAAGTCTTGCGTTATGTGCAAGATCACTTGGTCCAGAGAACAAGCTTTTTCCTCCTTCTTCTTTCTTAATCCGAGCACATACCTCGGTAAAGGAAGGAAGTTTTGTCTCCCTGAGGATTGTCTGAATGAGAGTATGGTAAGAACCATTCAGAGAAAACAACAGGGCAAATGTTTTATCCTGTTCCTGATTCAACCTCTTTCGGATCTGTTGGCGCTTCACGAAGCTCGCGATATTTAGACCAGAGGACGGTAAATTCTCCTAAGAGGGCATTGAAAGACTTCTCCTCCTATCGAAGAGAATATATTTGGCGTTTCACTTCATAAATCCGACTGATGTTGTTGTCATTGCCATAAACCCTCTTCAGTGTGTCCCATAAAGTTTTCGCTGATTCGATGTGGTTAAAGGATGTCAGAATCGAACCATCGAAAGAGCTTTGAAGAACAGTAACCACTGTGTGGTCTTCTTCATTGACCGAGGTTACTGCAGTTTCGACGATTATTCTGGTTTGAATCACATGATCCCGCCATTCCTTGCTTTTAAGAAACATGCGAGCTGATCTGGACCAGCTGAAGTAGTTGTCTCCGTTGAGCATGACGGGAATCAGGCGCACAAACGAAGAATCCATGACAGCAACCGAACAGAGGAATAAAAGAAAAGAGAGGATTGGCAAAGAAGATGAAGTGATTTTCCCTAGGATATCAGAGGCTCTGATACCTTGTAAACTTTTGTAGGATGAAGGTAATTAGTATCGTTTGTAATAGATTGAGTTGCAGAAAAACTCTCGGAGAGTATAGATCCGAGAGGTTGAAGGAGACAAAGAGAATTGGAAATGAAATACTCTGTTGTATATTCGAGACTATGAAAACATTATATATATGTACAGATCCTGACTTAGATAAAGAAGGAAATATATATTCTATATACAAGGAATGGAAACTGGAGAAGAGAAATTGGGGAAGCATATTTCTGAGAATATATTTCAACTGTTGTGGTCTCCTTGACATACGCTTTGACAATAACTTAAGACCCAAGTTATTGACTAAGGCATGGAAGTGAATTCCGGCTGTAGGTTCTGATCCGTCGTGCATGTGTCTTCCTCATTGTCTTCGTCAACACAAGCAAGATTGAAATCAATGACAGCATCTAAGACTAAATCTTAAGACAGAAATACAATCACGAGGAGTCTATAGGACGTGGTAACTAAGATAAGAAAAATCAACATGTAGGAAAGGCAAAGATGGTCATGCATTTTCAAGATTTGAAGTAGCAAAAGAACCAGAAACCAACAGAAGGAAAAAACAGAAAGAACGGATTTAATAACACGAGCATAAAAGAGAACGAAACACCAAACACCATCTGTTAGAGTTGTGGAACTCAAAGTACAAAACACGACCAATGACTTCGAAAGAATCACAGTAAGTACTACCATTATCGAGTAAAATTAAATTGGTAGATACCACCGGTCACAAATCAGACAAGAAACAACATAGATACCGAATTTTTTCAGACTTTCCACTTAGAACTATGATTAAAAAGAAGAAAGAAATCATACTGACTTACTGATATCGAACTCTGAGACCACCAAACTTGAATTGGATCAGGTGTCGACTGGTTTTTTCGTTGGTTTGCCATCGTTTTGTGATTGGATGGATTATTATTACAAGTCATAAATTACGATACATAATAACTCAAAATAACTCGAGGAATCATTCATTATAGGTGAATATGTAAACACTTTTATTCTCATATTCGTATCATACCATTTTTTTAAAAAAGCCCCTACATAAAACGGCACCGTTCTACTGCCTTCTCATACAAGAAAATATATATAAGCAAGGCCTATATATAAAGCTTATAAACCCTACACGACACACACAACAAACACCCCTTTTCTTAAAAACACCCACACAAAAAGCCCACGCTTCGTTTTCGCTTTGCTTCTCATTCTTTGTCTGATCCGTATACCAAAGCCCGACAACACAACAAATCCTGACCGTCGCGGATTTGAATCCTACGGCTTACGAACGCTGAGGAGCTTCACGTCGTCGACCACGGGCCCACACAGCGACGAGAAGTCATCGCTCCTCATGGAATAGAACGTGCTGTAGAACATAATCCTCGTCCGGTCCGAAGCCGCCACGAAACGCAGAGCCGCACGTTTGAAGCCGCCTGTGCCGCGCGACTCGTACGGGACCTTGATCGTGTCCCGACCCGCGAACGCCTCCACGATCATCGAGCCTTTGCATGCGTTATTGGCGTCTCCTACAGCGAAAGACAGCACGTAGGTCTTTCCAACCACGGTCCGAGCCACCTGAGCTATGGCGCTCTCTTTTCCAGCCACAAGCTCGACGGCTCTGCGGCCCTGAGGGACGGAGAAATGCTCGACGTCGATGTACTTAACAGCTTTGAGAGATTCGACCATCCAACCGGGTAACGGAGAGTGGTCGTCTTCTATGAACGGCGGTATCAAAACGCCGGTTGTCGCGTTGGGCAGTACCAATGGCCCTTCCTCGAATCCTCCGTTCTTCAGAATGTTCTCTGTCGGTAACCAAAGAAAAATGTGATATTGGTCGAGACATTTGATATGGCATATAAAACGCGATAACTTACAATGCATAATCTTTTCCGTTGAACGAAATAAAATTCATTTACGCAAACTGCTAATGAATCTAACGGTGCAATAAATATTATATATTCACGTGTATGTAAAAAAAATATCGTGTATATCTCTGGTATAACCGCGAAAAAAAAACCATATCTTTTTATCATATGGTACGTACGACTTAAAAGATTGATAAATCATATATAAAAAAACTTACTATTAGTGGGTCGAGGAGGGTAAAGGGCTCTCATAGCAACAGCATCAATGAGGGGCCCACAAGCAGGATCCTCCTCTTCGCCAGGATTATGGATCACGACGTCAACGAGTTCACTCTCGGCTTGAAACGCCCACGCGTAGAGATCCCACCCGTAGCTACTGTAGACCGTCTGTATCGGAATAACGCCCCAGTCGGGTGAGGCCGATATGTTCAGACGCTCGTCCTGAGCGCACGTGCGGGCCGCGCTGAACGTGAGGGAGTAGTACATGCCCTTTACGAGCCGGAGCCGTTGCTTGATCGAGGCCTCGTTGCCGAGCCGGACGGCGAATTTCCCGGCAGGAACCACGAGGAGCATGTCTCCTTGTTTCTGTCCTGATTTGATGTATTCCACGAATCCGGAGAGTTCCCAGTTCGGTATCGCCGTTTTGTTTACCACTTGCGTTCCCTTCATGTCGGATGGCTTCGGTCCTAGCTCGAAGTCCCCGTTCGGCAGCTGGCCTGTCAATAATTACGGAATTGCCCCTTAGGCTTAGAAGTCGTTTTGGGAGTAAAATTGCGTGTAACAATATGCGGATGGACCGTGATACGAATTATATAAAAGTCGTTTGGTTGATTACGTACCAAATTTTTTGAGAAGAAAAAAGGTGATTATAAAATTACGTAAAAAAGGGGCACGTGAAGCGTCCGTGTCGGCCTAACTGGGCCTATATAATAGGTCTACTTTAATTGATAATATATGTCCGAAGACCCAAACTTATCAAAAAATGATTAAACATGTAGTTATATATATATATATATATATATATATATATATATATTTACTTATTTATTTACACTCCATTTTTTTTACTGAGCATCATAAATCAAATTACAGACTAATATCGGTGTCGAACTCAAAGTGAAATATATGTTTTACACCCGCTTGAATTATTAAAATTTGAGTTTTATTACGGCTCCCTACTATAGTAATCTATTTATTTATTTTAACCACAGATTTAGTACCTAATAATACATGCAGTCTACTGCCCATCACCGACAACTATTATCACTATTACAATATTATTATTGTTTTTTTGGTGGAATACAATATTATTATTGTTTATTATTAATAGAATCGTAGATTACATCGTAACTCATAATCCACCGTTTGTCGGACCAACCGACTAACATAAATTCAAGATTTCAACTTCAACAATATCATAAAGAATAGAGCTTATTTTTATTATTACAGAAACAAAAGTATTTCACCTCCTTCTCTAGATACTTGGAGTTTTCAAGTTCTGAAAACCCATCATTTTCACAATTATTGAGTGATTATAATGAACCAAAAGATACTCTAACTTGAGGTTATCGGTTCATATCGAGACGGGTTTAATGAAAAAATGGATTGTAACATACATCGTATATATGTATGTGTATGTATATGAGTGTAGGTAACTATGAATGTATTTACCGTCGCGGAGGCATAAGGCGGTGTAGGCGGTGGTGAGGAGAACGAGGACGGACAAAACGACGACGCTTCGCATTTTGTTTATATGGAGAGAGAGTAATGATTATGGGGAGATGGAGGTGTGAGGAAATGATGAGGGGCAAATATTGCTTATATTGGTTTGGAGATATGAAAATACCATTGGATATTGGGGAAATTACGAGATTATGCCACTGATGTAGTCAGCGTATCCACGTCGGTGGGACCAAGAACTAGGGGTGTCAATAGAACCCAAAGTCCGAAGCCCGATCCGAAATCCGCCCGAAAAATTAAGGGTTTGGGCCTAATAATATAAGTTCGGTAAATAAATGGGCGGGTCGGTCCGGTCCGAAAAAAGTTAGGACCGAATCGAGTCCGGCCCGAAACCCGCCCGGCTCGCCCATTTAACCCGAAAAAATATTATATTATTATATTTTTACTTTCATTTGAGATTTAATACCACATAACATTATATAAAAAAAAATTTTTGTATGTTATATATATATATATATTTATATTTCAAAGCAATTTGATTAATATATATTAAAATTATATTATATATATATATATATTATTAAACAATTTAATTAGATTTTAGTTTAATTAATTTATATATATATTTATATTTATTTATATTTTATGAGTTTAACTTTGATTTTTAAATTCTATCTCAATGTTTTTCTATACTTTTTATTGTATCGAATATATTTTTCGTATATTACATATATTAAAAATATCATATAATTTATATAATTTAAATTTTACATGATTATTTTTTATTTTTTAATTTTTAGTAAATACTACATTTTATGAGTTTAATTTTGATTTTTAAATTCTATCTCAATATTTTTCTATATTTTTTATTGTACCGAATATATTTTTCGTATATTATATATATTAAAAATATTATATAATTTATATATTTTAAATTTTATATGATTATTTTAATTTTTTTAATTATAATTGATATGGGCAAAAATTTGCTATTGTTTTTTTAAAAATTATTAAATTATTATTATTATTGTTATTATTATTATTATTATATATTAATATTTATTTTTTTATTAAATAGAAAAAGCCCGAAATCCGGCCCGAACCCACCCGAAGCTCTATAGGGCCGGGTTCCGGGCCACCGATTATAAGCCCGAAAAATAAATGGACGGGCCGGTCTGGCCCAAAAAATTCGAAACCCGAACTAAGCCCGTCCCGAACCCGATCCGGTCCGCCCATTTTACACCCTACCAAGAACCACTCATAGAGTTTGGAATGGCTAAACTGAGAGGGTAAATAGGTAATTCTCTCTTGTTTTCTTATTCAATAATGAGTTCTTTCCCGATAATAATTTCGAATTTAAACGTTCTTTAATTGCTTTCAATTTAATTATGAGTGTCCTAACAAAACGGGTTGCGGTGATTTTATGTTTAAAAAACTATTCTTAGAGTTATTATAAACCTTTAGATTTGTTGTCTGTATATGTTGTAGTGAATTTGTGTGGCTAAAGACAAAAACAGAGTTTGGAGTTGCAATTGCATGTTACTCTTTGATATGAGCATATTCACATGGTTTGGATCCATCACATGCACATGCACTAATTGATCCCATGTTGTGTTTGCATGCTTTCTGTGATCATGGCTTGTTATGTTAACACACACACATACATATCAATGTATTATATTAGTTTGTGGGGTAAGAATTAAGGGTTATGAATTGTAAAAGAGAAATGGATTGTAATCTTTCATTCTATTTTATTATTTGATTTTTATTTTAACGATAGATAGATGTGGTGAAATGAATGCGAAAAAAAAAGATGTAACCGATGTATATTTTAAATAAACTTATTTGAATTTCATTTTATATTCTTCCCATTTCATCCAAACGTTTTAAAAAAAATATTATATTCTATTAATGTGTATTAATTGCTACTCAAAACCACTGTGATCTCTTTAATTCCATATTCCTCGCCCTTTGATTGTTTTTTTTTGTCTAACATAAATATTTTTTTTTTAAATAAAAGGTCAAAAATATTTTTTATCAATTAACTAATAAGCATTAAATATCTCGATTACCAATTAGTTTTTCTCCACGCATAAACTGTCCACAATCATTTGTTTTGTAGTCTCTCGTGAATTTCTAGTGTTATTTAAGTTAAAGGCATTAAATAATATGTCGCCCAGTTACATTTCCCTATGTCGGCCAGAGGAAAAAATCACGTCTTGTTCTCATCCATTATCGCCGAAACAGGGAAGAAATAATATCAAGACAAAATCGTGAATCACTCACACACACATATATATACACTGAATTATAATACGACAGTGAATCAAAAATGGTGATATACATGTTTTTGTGTGTATATATATATCCATATACGTATATGGTGGATATATAATGTTTGAAAATGATCATATGAATGCTGTGGAGATGAGGGATAAAGTTTGGTACGTTTTTTTTAATTATGTTTCTTTTAATCACAAAAAAAACGGGATAGAGACAACACTCACATGCACGTTGATTTTAATTGTATTTGTTGGGAGAACAAACACATGCATGTTGGTTTTGATTTAGAATGGTCGACATCAACTTAATCGCAGATCATTAAGTTGTCAAATCATCGGATTAGAAAGACATAAATAAAACGCTGCTTATTCTCGGAATCGTATCTTAACGGTGTGTTATTTAATTACAAACGACAATTAAGTACGATAATCTATGATTACAAAGAGACAGGGATCATATGTAGGTGGGGCATGAGAGAGAGAGAGAGAGAGAGAGAGAGAGAGAGAGAGAGAGAGAGAGAGATGTAATAAAGGCATGGTCGCGGTTTGTCTCCTTCTCCTTGTACACTTCTTTTACTCATAGTCGGGCCCATTGGGCCGACTTTGCATGAAAATGAGACCGACAGAATCATGGTAAACAATAATCACTTTGATTTATTTATTGAAGTAAAATATAATATCTATTTTTAAAAAAAAGTCATTGAATTTCGATAGATATTGCAAGAAGCCACGTTTCTCGTTAAGCCCTTTTGGTAGAAATTCAAGAAAAAAAAAACCTGACCTCACATCATTGGAAATATATGGAGAAAACAACAAATTTAATGAATCTATACCAATTTTGTCTTTGGAAGGACATTTACGATTTAAAAAAGAGAAAGAAATTTGTTGATCCGAGTAGCGAACTAAACGTTTTTTTTCCTTACCATGCATATTATAGTTACTGTATTTTGTTTATATAGTCTTCCTAGAGTTTGTAATTTAACCGAATCAAATAATATCAATAATTTCGAAATAATAATTCAAATTATTCAAGCTCATCAAGAAATGCGTTGAAACATCCTCAAACTAAGAAATCAATCCATCTCTAAAGACAAAAAAATAGCAAAGAACTTTATTTTGTGTTATACGTAAAAAAAAATTACAAATACGAACTGAATTAGTCATGTTTTTATTTTCTGAAATAAAAAAAACCTCATGTTGTGTTTGTCGTGCATTGGGACATTATTAGAGACCAAATACAACACTACCCAATGTTCTGCATCTTCCCGGCGGCTAACGTCCATACGGTTTTAACGGCTGTCGTTTAGCCCCCTGACGTCAAAACCTTGACGCCGTTTCCGGGTTCTCTCCTCCTTAAACGGTGTGGGTGATGGAGTCCGTTAACGCTCACGCGGCCTACTCGTTAAAATCCAACGGTCGCTCGTTATCCCCTCACGTGAGAGTTACACCCGTCCAAATGTCTCAATCACGTGACGCCGTATAGGACAACGGGAAACGGGGAGGTAAAATCACCCAAATAACCCACTTGGGTCGCATCTATTTCAGTGTACACCACTGAAAAAGAAAAAAAAAATTCAATTTTAACCCTCTTTTCGGCTGGAAAAGTCCGAAATACCCTTTTCGTTTTATTTTTTGCGATCTTATTACGACTAACATATAACTGATATACAACTAAAATAAGACAGATGATTTTTTTGCCACCTTTTTTAGAATCAATTATAACTATATTTAGACTTAATAACGAAGTCGTAATAACGAAGTTGTTTTCGAACGGATAAATATCGTAATTCATTAAGGGTAATTTTGTCTTTTCACGGGAAAAAAATGTGTTATGTTTTCGGTGGTGTACAGGTGAAATAGATGCGATCCAAGTGGGTTATTTGGGTAAAAAACCCAAACGGGGAAGGTATATAAATATAAATCTGTTAAACCCGGTTTAACCAATTTGGCTAAAGCCGGTTCATTTTTGCATGAACCACCAATTGTTTCCGGGGAGGACCCATTTCTTTTGCAATGGGATCTGTGATCCTACTGTTTTTTTTTATAAAAATTTCTTCATAAATTTTATAAATATTTAAACAAAATTGTTAAATGACAATTATAACAAAATTAAGTTTGTCACTACAAAATCTATCGTTGATTCCGGTTATAAATTTTTCTAGATCCGTCTTCGGTTACCGACCATCCGATGATTTCCAATTCTGATAATTCATTTGAGTTCTTTTTCCTAAATTGCCTAATTTGAATCAAATGTAAAGTTTTGACGATGATGAGATACATTGTACCATCAAACATCATAAATATGTGAACCATAATCCAATAAGGAAAAGATGCTATCCATATAACTAACCAAATTAGTTGGCAGCAGCTGCTCATATCGGATTTTAATTCGAAGGGTTTAGTCTCCCATTAATGGTTATAGGCCCCTTTGCGAATGTGATTCTCACGTGGCAATGTCCTTGATTTGGTTCTTCCCTAACTCATTCTCTCTAGTTTCCTCTTCTCGACTAATCTACAGATTTCCGGGTTACCCTTCTTTGGATATTCCAAAAACATGCGAATGTGGATCATATTATACATATATATATATATGTATATATTTATGTGTAGACGCTAATATTATTTTGGTTTGTTAGTAAAGGAAAAATATGGCGTTGTAAACACCTCATGTTGTTGCTTGGAGTGGTTTTGATGTTGCAGGATTGTCCTCCTGCAATTAATAGCTACACACATACATATAAACACAGTTGTGTGTACATGAAAAGGGCCCATCCAACAGCTAAGGATTTTATTCATGTCTAATTGATAAAAGTGCAATCAACATCCATTCAACTTAACTGAACTTTTTTTTTTGGTCTGAATCTTATCACTTACATAATTATTTATACTTATTTGGACTTTTGAACTTTTTACTCATACAAAAAACTTTTGATTTCATGACACATATTATCAAATATCTTATGGCATCTGGTAAAATTTTCCTTAGAGCAACACCAGAGATCAGAAACAGTCACCTATGAGTTAACTTATCACTTACATTTTTTTTTGTATGGATCTTATCACTTACATAATTACTTATAGTCCTTATTTCATGTCTCTACAAGAACACCAAAGGGTAAATTTTCTACAACTACAACAGGAGTTAGTTTCGAAATAACATTTCCGTGTCCAAAAATATCTTTTACAAATGAAAAAAATAGACTTAAAATTGTTAGAACATATCAGAAGGAATATACTACAATCATCGGATTCACAGTATTTATTTTAAATGATATAGCACATTGATCTTACATGGACATAGTTTAGTAATTCCGTTTAAACCACGTCAGTTTTTTCGTTTCTGCGGCGGGAGTTATAGGTTACTAATTTACAAGTATAAGGTTTATTTGATAAATAAAAAAATATAAGTGTTTTTTGTTGACATGAAAAAAATATAGTTTTTTTTAGATTCTTTTTTTTATAGGATTCTCCCAACAATTATTCTAATATTTTAAAAAAATTATATAAAATTTCGGTTTAAAAATTATATCATATAGAATTCTGACATGGCTCAGGTACATATTCTAACTGAGTACCATATATATACACGCATACAACCAAGGACCAAAATAATTTGAACATGAACGCATAAAATATTTTTGGAACACTTTTAGTTCCATATTTACATCCCCTCCCCCTCCCCCCACTCAAATGTTTTTATCCAGGCCCGAACTTAATTCTCTGTATTTTGGGATTTTAATGTAACGAGAGAAATAAAAAACGAGTATTCGTACCCATGTCGAAGAAGAAGATTAAGCATAGCACGAGTAAAAACGATAGATGCATTTTTTAGATATAATATTTTATGGTATTATGTAATGATTACTTGGCTAAGTAAAATGCAATTCTAAATGCATAAAACGGAAGCACACACTCTGGGCATGTTACATTAATACAGAAGAAGACGTTCAATTAAGATTCTTAATGCAGAATTAAACAAAAAAATAATACAAAAAACGAGAATGAGAAAAAGAAAAAGAGAGAGGAGTTTAGGTACGTACGTTACGTGTGTGGCTCCTGAATCTTCGGTCTCGTCTGTCTAATTACAACAAGCGGCTCAGAGAGTGGCATCTCTCTCCTCTGGATGCACCTGAAACCGTGTCTTTGTTTATATATAAGATTCCAGGCGCACGCTATTTGATATTTTTCCCCCATGGATCAATCGAATAATCCACTAACATTCACTCTTTCGTAATTAGAAACTAAGTTTCAAGTTTAGGTTAAGTTAGTGTCTTGATTCATTGAAGACCAAACTTTGAAAAACGAAGTATTTAACTTTGAGGAGAAGTAATTTGTGGCATTACGTACCTCCTTGAAACTCAGGGTTCGAATTCTGAGTTCACCCCTGCTTGTAGTCATCTCGTCCAATATCTCCCCGTCTTGAATATCATCTTCATCCCTCAATGTATGGTGTGAAGATCCCAGTCTCTGCTGGTCATATGTTTCAGACCATGACATATCAACATCACCTTTTGTTTCGGTCATTCAATTCAATTCACTCACCCTTTTACAAAACTATGTTAAACATACATCAACCATCATTAAGCAGTGGAAGTTGAACAGTTTGATGTGATAAAGGCAGGATTAAAACCACAAAAAACGAGCTACTAGGATATGGTTTGGTCTGGTTTTATTCAGTATGGTTCCTCATCCTTTTTTTTTCCAAAATAACAAAGAGAAAGTTTGATTCAATATTTCAAGAGGAGGCGTTAGTGTTGTTGTTACCTGGTAGGCGAGGCTGGAATGTTGCCGTAGAGGTGCTGCGACAACTTCTTCATACTCAGAAGCGTCAAGCACCTGAAGGTACTCTGGTTCGAATACCTTGGGGAGGACGTGTTGTCTGATGGTGATAAGAAGGAAGAATAGCACCGGGAAGAATATTCCAGCCATTGGTATCCACGTCATGCCGTAGCACACAAGGAAGTATCTCAATGTGCATAGATCTAGCCTGAACAGTGAACGAGTTATACCTTAACAGCCTCTTGAAAGAATAGAACAACAATCAACATGCCAAAGAGTTCCCCCGCAATCCTAGTAAATCTTGTGATGATTGTGCATGCATTAAATATTGCAAGAAGAATAAGCAAGACTGCAGTCCAAACACAAACCCTGCGAAGCAACAAACATGTGAACTTTCTGAGAACTGGTCAATTTCTAAGTATCAAGATTTTATTCTCTTACCATGCCACCCAAGCCAAGTAGAGCTTATGACCAATTTCTGGCTTTGCTATGCTAAAATTGTAGAGATAGGTGTACATAATGATGGTTGGTTCCGCAACTCCAAGTATCAACAATGGCTGTCCACCAAAAACTGAGTGTATGATGAAGAGCGTAAACGCCACTATCACCCTGTACGGTACTAACTCCACAAATGAAGCGTGTACCCCTTGCAGCACTCTGTATACCAGAGATCCATTTATTTCCAAAACCCTCTTTCCTTCTTCTTTATTTATATGGAAAAAGAAATGACTTACTTGAACAGCCGACGTGGAGGGATGAAGAGAAGTAGCAGCCTCTCCCAGAATTGGTTTCCCGGTAGACTGTCTATAGCCATGTAACCGAAGTAACCCCAGAGGATGGAACTGGGGATCATTTTAATCACTGGCACTGCAAACAGGGTCAATCCCACCAGCACTGACTGTAAAAGATTGCTCACTCTTTGCTCGTTTACTCTCACGGGCAAGTGAGCATCGATGTGCACATCGGGATCGAACTTTCCCTTTGTTGTATCCCCTCCCTCGTTTGGTCGCATCACTGCTTCTTTCAAGTCTTTCAGATCCTTGTCTACTGAATTCTCCTGCTCATTTATCTAGAATTCATAGTATTTGTAGTCCATTAAAAAGAAATGGAATTTCAAAGTTTATTTTAAAAATTAAATTTTGACATGCCGTTTTTCTGATATGTATCCTGACGTGTCGGCGTTGGTCAACCGGCTATGGCACATAGGCATTCCGGCGAGCCACATTACGAACTGACACGATTTAAGAAGTGAAAGTATCTTTGTAGAAAATTGTCTAGTTGAAGGTTCTATACAAAACTTAGTTGAGGTATATACCTGGCAAAATCCAAAAATTCGAGTTTTTTTTTTAAAATTTCCCAAAAAAACAAAACCCTGCAAGAATCCCCACAAAACTTGCAATTCTGCAAAGTCACGCACTTCCATGTTGTTAATGTTTTGAGTTTTAGAAGCTCTATGCACCTGCAACTCTAAGCCTTCAAGTAATGGCATATTGCCCTACGGTCTTTTCCTAAACTCAAGAGAGAAGGAGCATTTACCTGCGGTGTGCCTATCTCCATCTCTATAAATACTGCTTGCATTCTACCGTAGATTTGTGAGTTGGTAGCATTCATCTTCATGCCCTCCTTTGCACTTTCCACCATTTTCTTACGGATCAGCTGCAAAACCAGCTTCAAGATGAGAATAGCACAAGACAAGAAAACTAGCCCTGTCTCTCAAATTTCCACCTAACCTGTCGATTGAGAACTGCAAGGCTCTTTGTGTGCATTGGAGCCTGCGGGATAACACCATTTGAAGGAGGAAGCCCAAGCAACCCACAGATCAAAGTCTATCACCATGAAAAAGTAAATAGGGTCTCAACCGTTGGATAATGTACGAGTGTTAAAACGAATTGGTCAATAAATCAGTAATTATTTACCATAATTCCCAGCAAAAAGATGTCATAGTGATAAGCAGATGGGTTTTTGAGATTAAACTCTTTCTGCTGTGCCATTTGTGAAGCTACACTATGGTCGAAGAAGTACAGGCCTGCTATCATCACAGCAGGTATAACGGCGACAAAGATGTAGAAAACCGGTACCTTCCCCATATCCTACAATTTGTGAATGAAAGTTGTATATCCATCATTTCTGTATTGAGAATTCACTGAATACATTCTTGCAAGAAAACTATCAAATACGTGGAAGGAAGTTTAAATTTTACATATTGATCAGGTCATGTCATTTTATGGTTTAAAGAAAGGAGATCGATAGGTTAAGTCCAAATAAGCCTGTGAGAAAAAGATAAAATCCCACGTTTATCCAAGAGATTCAACAAAGAGCCCACATGCCTAATACCTTGACTACAGTCCAATGGTACAAGGACGCTGGTTCCCATGGAAGAGGGCAGAAGAGCCTTCGAGGGACACTTGGAGGAACTTTGCTAGGAAGTGCATATGACAACACGGTCCAGAACAAGACCATAAGGGGAACCCCATAATCTCCAATGAAACTTCGGAGCCACCCTGTATAACAATTGTACCGATTATCAAGCGCTGAATATATGATCACGATTAGAGGATCTTATAAACTGACAATGCAACAGCTGCTGTACCAAACCCATATTTCCATGATTTGGCCCTTCTGCTTTTAAGTGTCGTGACTATAAAGCCGATCGAGAAAATTACCGCTAGCAAACCATTTACATACAACCAGTGGAAATGATTCCTGCCTAATTTGAGGTCTGCACCTTCAGGAGCATTAAATTCACCTATCAACCCCTGGATGTTACGTGAAGCATACTTATTAAGCATTTTATCAGGAGAACAAATGATCTCAATGTGCATAGATCTAGCCTGAACAGTGAACGAGTTATACCTTAACAGCCTCTTGAAAGAATAGAACAACAATCAACATGCCAAAGAGTTCCCCCGCAATCCTAGTAAATCTTGTGATGATTGTGCATGCATTAAATATTGCAAGAAGAATAAGCAAGACTGCAGTCCAAACACAAACCCTGCGAAGCAACAAACATGTGAACTTTCTGAGAACTGGTCAATTTCTAAGTATCAAGATTTTATTCTCTTACCATGCCACCCAAGCCAAGTAGAGCTTATGACCAATTTCTGGCTTTGCTATGCTAAAATTGTAGAGATAGGTGTACATAATGATGGTTGGTTCCGCAACTCCAAGTATCAACAATGGCTGTCCACCAAAAACTGAGTGTATGATCCCGCAAATTGAAGTAGAAGCTAATGTTTCCACCGTGCTCAAAGCCCCACCTGGTGCAAGTCAATTAAAATCATCCTTATTCATAGGAGACTGCATATGGCAATACAAGAAGAACTGACCTGTATGTTTACTTAACTGCTCCCCAAAGGCAACAACAGGAAGAGCAGAGGCAAAGAAAATATAGCTACTTGGAGCCAGAATCCTGGTAAAACAATGCAAAACGACTTAACTCGCTGTCTAAATTCCCACGGAATCACTGCGGAATTTGTTCGAATCGCACCTGACCCCTGATTTCAATCCTGTGAAAAACATACCTTATCCCAGTACGTATACCACGAACCCAATCTTCCTTGTAACATTTGCTTCTATTCTTAACATCTCGGATTATTCCCTCAAATGGACCTCCATCACACTCCATCGCTGAATATCAAAGAGTGTTACAGCACAAGCTTCCACGCTTAAATTCGATTTACAAGAAGAAATTCATCATGTAACAAGAACATCCATCACAATTTCCTTTTAATTTAATGTTCTGATCTCTCAACAAATCAAATTCTAAGGGTTCAATCGAAAACCAGGTGCAACCAATTGATGAACCTCCCTCAGATTTCAACAACACAAATATCGCCACGAGACTGAACAAAATTCGAATCGAGAACCTTGAAAATGTTCATTACTGATCATTACATGGAAAATTTACAGAGAAAACAACATCTCTCCCCAAAGGATTCTACATTTCATCGTAATTAGACAATTTTTCTCGCCGAACAAACAACTCTTTAGGAACAGAAGAGCCTCATTTCGTAGCTCCGGCGCGCACAGATAAAACAATCCGATCACAGACAAGACATTTAGGCTCAAATCACGTAAACAGAATGCGTATAGAGATATCTACATATACATACACGCACACACACACATATGAATGGATCGACGGTGACGGACCTGGAGATTCGGTGGCGTGGAGAGCTCAGATTCCGATGACGGCTTCGTCACTTTCTCTCACTAGAATTGATGATTAGTTTAGAGAGAGAGAGGAGGACCCGTTGGAGGGAGGGTTAAAGTTTCGAAAAATTTCCGGGGAAAAATGAATTTCCGTTCGAAGCAACGGAAGGAGCAACGACTCCGTGGCGGAAGCGCGTGTGGGATCAGACTACAGTAAGCTGACGTGGTGGTATTGCATTGGTGGAAGGTCCCGAGAATGTTTACGGGGTCTCTCCCTAAGAATAGCAAAAGAAAATAAATAGTGTGTGTGTATATATATATATATATCTAACTTTTTTTTGGTAAAAACATATATATCTAACTTGGTAATTCAATTGTATATACATAAGGTGGGTTTTCTAATAGAATTTTGAATATAATCGGGAATTTAGGCGTTTCTGTTTTTGTGGGCTCATAAATGAGGTTTAAGTTACCTTATTTTCATCATGATATATATGAGTTAGGATATATTAAAATATCCTACAGTGAAATATGAAATTATGAAATTCTTGTTGCGTCATACGTATTTACATTCTCAATCTATAGATTGCCTTCACCGGTTAGTAATAAAATGATAAAAATAAAATAATATATACCATTAATTTTATATTATATCGAATCGAATATATAACTATATTTAATTTGATAAAGTTTTTAAAACTTTATTAATCCAAATATTAAAATGAATGAAAAATAAATTAGAAACAGATTTTTTTTAAATTAACCTATTTCCTGAATTGAATAAAAAACCATATAAAAAATAGAAGAATTAAACCCGACCGATATAATTTTGTTTTTCTTCCAAAAACATTAAAAATAAAAATAGAGGAATCTTTTACAAAATCTTAGGGAATAAATGTGAATGAATCAAGAGCCCATAATTGACATTTAATCCGTCAATAATTAAAAGCGAAAGAGATTCAAATTTCAAACGCTTCAATCTACTTATACTAGTCCAACAATCACAACTCTCCATCTTCCAAATACTGTGTTTTTTTTGTTCATAGCCCTCCGGCGACCGTGATTGAATCTCCGGCGATGTCCGGCTGCGGAGGGAACAACAACAACAACGGCGGAGGAAATCGGAGCGATGAGTTACAGCCACATCCGGTGAAAGACCAACTCCCCGGAATCCAGTTTTGCGTCAATAGCCCTCCTCCTTGGCGTACGTACGCTACGCTCGATTCAATTTATATATTTACAGCATTTCTACAAACTTTTCAATTCGTAGTTTTATTTTCTTTTTCGCTATGCAAATTAATGATTTTTTTATTTTGTTTTTGTTGGCATGCATGGATGCAGTTGAAACGCTTGTGTTAGGATTCCAACATTACTTGTTAAGTCTTGGTGTCACTGTCCTCATCCCGACCTTATTAGTCCCTCAAATGGGAGGTGGAGACGTAAGAATCTAACCCTTTTACTATTTTATGTGTTTTTTTTTGTATAATCTTTTTTTTAATGATTTTATAATGTTATATAGATGGAAAAAGCCAGGGTGGTGCAAACTCTACTGTTTGTGTCGGGAGTGAGCACATTGTTTCAATCTTTCTTCGGGACGAGGTTACCAGTTGTGGCGATCGGTTCTTATGCATATATCATTCCCGTTTCTTCTATCATCTCGGCTAGTCGATATCGCCAATACACAGATCCTTTCGAAGTGAGTCCATTATCGTTTTCTGTAATGTTATATCATCCTTAACATTTGATCATCACAAATTTGATTTTGGTGGGAACGGAATGATGATCGATGAGATATGCAGAGATTTGTGATGACAATGAGAGGAATACAAGGGGCAATGATCATCACTGGTTGCTTTCAAGTCCTCGTGGGTTTCCTCGGCTTATGGAGAAATGTCGTAAGGTCATATACTTGCATACTTTCTATTTTGTTTATAACCGTTCTATTGTTATATGGAGAAATGTCGTAAGGTCATATATTTGAACTACCCCAACCTGGGTACTTCAACCGGTGAAACGGGGGCGCAAAGCGTCTGTCCCGCCCCGAGTTCGAACCCCAGGCTGGAGAGGGAGCGCATAATTCAAATCACATGGCTGGCTTCCGCCCCCGAGATTAGTTTGGGCATCGGCCCAGGAAACCCGGTTACCCAAAAACAAAAAACCGTTCTATTGTTGTAATGTGATAAAATGAATAATGAGATTGTATTGTAATGTTTGTAATTTAACACGACCAACAGGTTTCTCAGCCCTCTCTCCATTGTTCCTTTCGCAACTTTTGCTGGGCTCGGACTCTACCACGTTGGTTTTCCTATGGTAAAAAAACTCATGCCTTAAATCTTGGTTGTTTAGTAAATAAATTAAAAAATATAACATTTTGGTTGAACCAATTGCTTATACATTTTCTCTCTTTGATTTGTTTTTTGTTTTTTTCAGCTCGCAAGATGTGTAGAAATCGGGCTTCCCTGTTTAATTCTGCTTGTTATCTTTACTCAGGCAAATGGACAATTTCTCCTTATAACGTTCATTTCTTATATATATATATATATATGTAACAAAACTCGTTCTCTGAGCCTTTTTGTTCTTTTGGACAGTATATTCCACGTTGCATGAAATCGAAGCATCTAATATTGGATGGACGAATATTCGATCGCTACGGAGTAATGATGACAATTCCGGTGGTATGGTTAGTAGCTCAGCTTCTGACATCATGTGGTGCTTACAGCCACAGACCTCATCGGACTCAAACCAGTTGCCGTACGGACCGCGCCGGTCTCATCACCAACTCACCGTGGTCCGTTATGGTTTTCCATACTTTTATAATTCTCACACTTTTTTTACAACGTTATACATATTGTGTATAAAGATTTCCATATCTTTTGTTGCAGGATCTATATACCTTATCCATTTCAATGGGGAAGCCCTACCTTCAACGTCGGAGAGGCTTTCGTGATGATGTTGGCATCTTTCGTAACCCTCTTCGAGGTTTTCATTCATCGCCTCTTAACAAAGAATGTTCTTTACGTTCCGTTTGTTTATTATTTCGAACATCATATATAAATAAATGTCAGAGATTTACAGCAGGCGTAAATTAAATTGTGCAGTCCACGGGGTTGTTCTACGTATCTGCGAGGTACGGGAGTGCAACACCGATTCCACCCTCCGTCGTTAGCCGTGGAACTGGTTGGATGGTAAACGCTATATATCTAACAATTTCACCTTCATATCTATCATTTTCACGTCGTTTTTTTTACCATCTTACAGATTTTCGTCATAACTTTGCGAATTTGATTGATTTAGGGAGTCGGGGTTTTACTCAACGGCTTTCTTGGATGTGTCTGTGGGGTTACAACATCGGCGTAAGCATACGAGAAAACCGATATTCCTAGCCTTTTTTCCTCATTGCTTAACCCATGCATGAAGTTATATTTCAAGATATTCACTCTTACAAAGTTATATTGCAGGGAAAACGTAGGCTTGTTGGGACTGACAAAGGTTGGAAGCCGAAGAGTGATTCAAATATCAGCATGCTTCATGATTTTCTTCTCAATCTTTGGTAAACCTATATATATATATATATATATATATATATATATAAAACCCATTTCAAAGCTTATAATATGCACTCAAATACCTTTTTGAGCTTACGACCATCGCTAAGATATAGAATTCTGACTCAAAACGCAGGAAAATTTGGAGCTTTTTTCGCGTCGATACCGCTATCGATAATAGCAGCGGTCTACTGTGTCCTCCTGGCATTTGTGTGTGAGTTTCTCGATCACATTCTACCCGATTCAGATCGGATTTCTTCGATATGACTAGCTTTTGTCGGATCTAAACGTACGTGCTTGTCCATGTGCCGGAAATGGGTGGAAAACGCAGCTTCAGGAGGGCTAAGCTTTCTCCAGTTCTGCAATCTCAACAGCTTCAACACCAAGTTCGTGTTAGGGTTTTCCATATTCTTGGGCATTTCAGTCCCACAATACTTCAGAGAGTACCACAACGGACCGACCAATTGGGTCAGCTTCTCCAACCTTATTATATTATATACGTAACAACGCGTATGCATGCATGCACGTAGATACTATATAGATACACACGGATATATATATATATATATATGTATGTATCAATTGAAATGTTTGCAACAGTTGGGAGACGTGGTGAGAGTGATATTCACGTCGCACGCGACGGTAGCGGCGGTGGTAGCGATGGCGTTGGATTGCATGTTGTGCAGAGAGAGCGAGGAGACGAAGAGAGATTGCGGACTGAAGTGGTGGGAGAAGTTCCGTCTCTACAATCTCGACGTCCGTAACGACGAGTTCTACGGTCTCCCCTTCCGCCTCAACAACTTCTTCCCTTCTCTCTGAAACAAAAAAAAAAAAAAAAAAACAATTTCTCTCGATTGATTCATAATTCTCCTTTTTTTTTTGTTACATTATCACGTTTGTGTTTTCTGCATGTTCTTTGTTACATTTGAACAGAGAAGACTTCGGTGATGTAGGTTGGCCCTTTTTCTTTTTTATTTGTTAAGAAGATTATAGAGTTGATTAAAAAAAAAGAATAGAAATTCATAATAAAAAAGATTGAACTTCTATACGATGCCTGATAGAAATTATGATTGGATCAAATATGAGATTTTGCTTAGCTCCTTGTAACAATAACACATACTCAATCGGAGTTGTCCAAGTGATTCTTGATTGAGAAGGATAGGGGTGCCTTGTCCGAAGTCACGTTCATGTTCGAGTGACTGTTAGAGAGGCAGAATGCAATTAATTGCACCAAGATGGTCCACCCATTCAGATTGGATATAATTGGACTGAAGTTCCGATGAACCACCTCATTACCACCAAAAAAAAAAAAGAACACACGTTCTAATAGAGAAACTCTCGAGTGAGATCCTCGAGGAGTAACCCCACAACTCACGATTTCATCTCCTAACGTTCTCATTTTATACCATTTTCAAAAGGAGAGATGTTCATATATATATATATGAGAGAGAGAGGGAGGGTGAGTCCTAATCTAGCACATGAGAAGCAAAGCTTCACGAGGGCGGCCAAGAAGGCTGAGAGCCGTGGCCGCGATGTGATGGCCCGTTAGCCCAGCAAGCGCCAGCTGTTCGCTCGGGGATGCTTGCTCTATGTACCCATCCGGCAGTACGATCGGTCTCCACTGCCCAACCAAAAAAAAAAGATTCTTTTTATTTTATCTGGCTTTAATAATAATATTTCGGGTTATTATTAATTTCCTTTATTATTGAATCTCTTATAAATAATAAAAAAAAAGAGAGAATTTTTCTCAGTTAGTGGAAGTTTTCATGAAATTCTTTGGATCTGCAATCGAATTAACGAGTTCGAATACCTGTAGTAAGTTTTTCGTTTCATCCGTTAAGTTTCAACTGCTACGAAAAAAAAACCCGTCGTACCTTGATCTTGCGGTCAAGCTGACCATCGAGGGCGATGAACTGTGCGACGTGGGACCCGAATCCCCCGACGCAACCCTCCTCGACCGTTATGAGGAACGAGTGGTTTTGACAAAGCTGTCGGAGAAGCTTGATGTCGAGCGGTTTGCAGAATCTGGCATCTGCAACCGTCACTTCTATCCCGAGCTTCGAGAGCAGCGATTGTGCGTTAAGGCAGTTCTGAACCATGGCTCCATACCCGACCAATGCCACCTCTTCACCCTCTACCAGAACTCTTCCTCTTCCG